GCTGGAGATTCGAACCCGCCACCTTAGGTGTACGTGGCCAGCGCCCTAGCCGCTTGAGCCACAGGCGCCGAGCCTAACATCACAATTATTATTTGAGTCTGCAAAATGGAGTTACTAATATCCCCCAATCCAGACCCTACAGTGAGGTCCTGTATTCAGGATGTGTTCCTCAAATTCCTCATCACTGTTCTTTTGTTTATTTAATTCCCAGAAGAGTCCTTTCTTCCTCTCTTCTGTCATGCAGCAAGTATAGCAAGTAGTTTTTAAATATGTTCTCTGTTAGGTACTGCAGGAGAACCAGGGGTGGGGGTGGTGATGAGATGAACAAGATAGGCGGTGTATACCCTTGGGCAGGAAGCACCAAGCCCAGGTGTTACACAGGACTGTAGGGTAAGTGGGAGGGTTAGTGGCAGCCCTGGGGTGGTCACAGCGATGACTGCATTCTTGTCTAGGGGTCTCAAGCTAGGCAACACTGGATAATGCCTGAGAGAAGTGGCAGAACCCAACTTCCCCATGACTCCTCATTTCTTTTCTTTTCCTCTCCTTTGTTTTTAACCGGAGACCCTCTCCAAGTAATTTTTTTTCTTTTTTCATTCCTCCTCTTTCCGAATCGCCACTGCTAGCCAGGACACAGCCCCTCCTCACCGGTTTGTCGGGATTTCTACACTTCTCCATTCACGCCAGTGCTCCTAGGTCCAGTTTGGAAACCCCCAAGCTCTTCCTCTTTTCTATAGCAGGGGTGCAGGGTGCCGGTGTCAGTCACGTGTCTCTGACTTCAGAATAGGACTCCAGACCTAGGGGTCTTCCCTATGTCCTCGGATGTTGTCTTTCTGGCCATCTGTGTCTTCTTTTCCTCCCTAAACGGAACCCCTTACTCTGCCCCCTACAGCCGTTTAATTGCAAAAGCCCGGCCGTTTGTGGGAGACCACAAGGCAGCGACCCTCTTCATTACCACAGAGAAGAGAGTAAAGGGGCAGCTCTAATTAGGTTAATAACCCTACCCCCACCTTCGGAGCCACCGCCTACAAACCCATCTTTAAGCTTTCTCTGATTCTTGTCCTCTGTCCTGAAACAGCTATGAAAACTTTAAAAGCATTTCTGACAGGTACCATCTGGCCAGGGTACCCACTCCTGGCCGCTCAGGAGCGCCTGTCAATTCAGAGAGGCTAATGACTTGCCCCAGGTCACACAGCGGAAATCCAACCCGCTGCCAGGGTGCTAGGTGGTGGAAGGACGAGAGACCTGGCATTCTCCCCATGGCTGCAAGGCTATATAGCACCGGGATGCAGCCTAGCCCCAGACCCGAGCTCTGTCCCATTTTAGGTGGAGAAAGGAGAGGTGGGGGTTCCCCAAATGCAGGGAAAGAAGTGGCTGAATTCCCCCTCCACATAGTGGGACGAAGCCGGGACAGGTTCCAGGTCCCAGGACACACCCGGTCCCGTCGGTTCTTTAAACTGACCCCAAGCGGCGCACGCGGGCGGGGGCGGGGCTGGGTTGAGATCTGGTCACATGACCTGGCCTGAGGGGTTCGCGGCCCCTACTCCACCAGAGGGCGTCCCCCACAACGCGTGGTCGACCCTCATTGGCCAGTAGCGCGTCCAATAGAAATCAGCCATCTGGGAACCCAGCGTTCCGAGGCACATCCTAACTTGCTGAGCCGAAACAGACCCAATGGAAAGAAAGAGTTGTAGTCATAGACCAATGATAAGAAGTGAAGGGCGGGCTCAAGGGTTGGGTCAGGTTGGTGTGAGAGGCGGGCGTTTATAAAAGTGCTAGGCGGGCGGCGGCGTCCGTCTCTACTGCAGAGCCGCTGCTGAAGGGTCGTTTTTAAAGGGCCCGTCAGCCGCCGCCCCCTTGGCCCGCCATGCTGCTGTCTGTGCCGCTGCTGCTTGGCCTCCTTGGTCTGGCCGCCGCCAAGCCCTCCGTCCATTTCAAGGAACAGTTTCTGGATGGAGGTAACGCCTCATCCCGCCTCGAGGCCTCCCTGACGACGCGGCATGCCCCCCCAGCCCTGATCTGCGTTGTCTGTAATTACCACTCAGAGGGCCAACACAGTGGCCTCCAGAGACTAGAGCCGCGGGCGATCCTTCTTCTACGTCCCTGGGGAGCGTGGAGGGCCCGCGGCGGGAGTTAGTGTTCGCCCGATGATCT